CAACTGAATTGATGTGGTAAAGGTAGGAAATTGCTTTTTAAAAATATATAGACTAATGGGTATTTGAAGAGCGCTTTGAACAATTTAATTTAGAAATATTTTCAATTGAATTGGAACAATGTTTCACTGAACAGCCTGTTACTGTGTGCCAGAACTAATATCTAAAGAAAGTTTTATGGGGGAACATAGTTCATGTGAGTAGAGAGAATTAAGCAGAATGAAGCCTATATGTGATATGAAAAAAAGAAATTAGTCTCTGCCTTTTGTTTATTTATAAATACATAATGAAGACCAGAAAGGATCTTGCTTCTGCTTCTTTACGCAGCAGAAATTAATTTTCTTCTGCATCAGACAGCAGGAAGTCGATGAATTTTCTCCTGGAAGAGCAAGGATAACTGGAGAACTAGTAATAGGTGTATGTTACATTAGTTTCCAAAGAAATGATGTCTGATAGACAGGGGAAATGATTAAATTAGAACTCTTAACATTCTCAGATGCCTGAGAAATTATGGGAGATTCAACTACCTTTTAGATTTATGTTTTAGAGATCTCATTTTCCTCCTCTACAACTATGGATAACTTCCAAATTTAGTGATAAAGCACAGTATAGCATTTCATAGAAAAATTGAGGCACTGAAAAATTTTATAAAAACCACACAATATTGTGTTATAAATATTTTAGATAATAAGTGAAACTGAGCCTATGAGGTTTCTGATTTATTAATTTCCTCTCACTTGTTTTGATCCTCTTTCAAATTTTTAAACGTGTTCTCACTTCCATTAAGTTTTCTTTAAGTACTCCAATTACATACATTGCTCTAAAAAAGGATGATTACTATTTCTTTAACATGAACAAAATGTTTAAATGAATTGAACAGAACTATTGTTTCTTTAGATTAACAAAATGTTTAAAGATATTTTGACTGAAGTCCAGAAGCTCAAACAGAAACATTTTAAATGCTAAAAATCTAAATCTTTCCTCAAACAAGCAAAATGACAGCTGACAAAGACAAAGAATATTATTTCCAAAAACAATGTGATTTGAACACTTACAGTACATTTGAAAATTTTACTCAAGATAATTTATTTTAAGATCAGAATTCCGAACTTTGGGTTTCCATGCATCAGTTACATTTCCTACTAAACTTAAAAGGCACAAATATTGACTTATAACCATTCCCAACTAAATCATCCCAACCAGGGTGTTGTCAAGTCGGGACTTAAAAACCTCTAGAGACCATGACCAAGGTAAGGATTTCATGATCAAAATTATATACAACTGACACCCTGCTTTTGAAGTATAAGGTATCATTATATGAATCAGTTTTTCTGCACCATTTTAAAAAGTGGTCCTTCATTACCATGATCTACATAATATTATTAAAGATTGTATACTACTATGTTAGGACATTTTCTTTTTGGAAGACTGAAGAGAGAATTTATATAGTATATACCCTTAGACTATGTCTACACTGCAAGCTTTTTGCAGAAGGGATCTTCTGCAAAAGCTTCTTGCGTAAAAGTGCGTCCACACCTAAAAAGCACAGCACAAAAGCGATGTGCTTTTGCGCAAGAGAGCGTCCACACTGCATGGATGCTCTTGCGCAAGGAAGTTCTGATGGCAGAGCACCTGTGCTTTTTCTGATAGGCTCTTTTTGCGCAAGAAACCCCTGTTGACCATACACACACCTTTTTCTGCAAGAACTCTTGTGCAAAAAGGAGTTATTCCTCTTAGAAAGAGGTATGCCTACGCTGCAAAAAGCCCTCTGTCCTGTTGATTTATTGTAAATTTTCTTGCAGAAAAATGAGCTTGAAGTGTGGACACACTATGATTTTTTTGTGCAAAACCCCGTTTTTGTGAAAAAACCCTGTAGTGTAGACATAGCCTTAGAATGAGATGCTATGTTGTGCTTCCTACTGGAGTGTTGGCTAATTTGTGCCCTCAATTCTAGGCTGCTTCAGGGATTTGGATAGATCTGCAGCTAAACTCAGATAATAGCAGAACTCTGATAGCCATTCTCTATTGTATATTGTAATAAATGAAAACCAAAGGTTAGCCTTCTAGAAAGACATTACTTATTTGATACAGAGATATTTACAATGCTCAAACAGCATAAAATGGTGTTTTGTTAAGGCCACTTTTTCCCCTCATTCGAAAAATGAGGCATGTTTAGTTTAGAATAAAGAAGACTGAGGGAGAGTCCTGATAATCTTCAGATCTGTTCAGGACTGTTGTAAAGAGGATAGTGGGTCAACTGTTCTCTACTTCTACTGAAGGCAGGACAAACATTAAAATGTCTTACTCTGCAGCAATTGAGATTTAGATTAGATATTAGGAAAAAATGTTCTAACAGTCAAGATAACTAGGCATTAAAAGAGGTTACCAAAGGCGGCTGTGGAATGCCCATCATTGGAGGCTTTGAAAAACAATTTAGAAAACCACTTTTCAGGGGAGGTCTAGGTATACTTGATTCCATCTTAGTACAAGAGGTTGGATTAGATGACTCAAGATCCCTTCCAGTCCCACAATTCTGAGATTTGAATAACTACTGTATTCAGTCTGTTCAGATTTCAGTCAACCAACTGCTTTCTCACTTTGTAGAACAGAGAACTGAGAATAAAGCTGAAGTCCACTTTTAACTTGCAACAGCTGTTTAAAATGTAAAAACAAGACATACCTGAAGCTATTATGACCAGATGTTATTCTCAACCTGCATTCAAACACTGTCAGTAGTCTATGTAATGTACAAATGTGCCCATTCCTGGCATGTGAGTTAACAGAAAATTATACCACAATCAGCTCAAATTTTCTCCTTACTTCTTAACTGTTCTTATGGTTCCCATCTCAGGTTTGTTCATTCCATCTCTTAATCCTGTCCTTACAGATAGCTCCCTTATATCTCTGGTGGGTAATGAGTTGGTGGAACCTATGCAATATTCCTCTCACAGGACCAACACTTCCTAAACCATGTGGTGGGGGGGGGAGGGGGGAGGGAAGGGAAAGAAAGGGAAGGAAAGGGGGAGAGAGAGAGAGAGAGAGCGAGCGAGCAGGGGTAAGGAGGTTTCTAAGAAACACTGCCAGCCTGTTGTAACTACCCAAATGATAATTTTATTTAGACTGGCTTTAACTTTCACCATATGCTTTTGTGTTTACTTATCCCCATTTTTTAAAATGTTAAAATACAATAAATAGACTTTACTCATGGTGAAGAGCTAGTCAGGACGTTAAAAATGTTATTCTAAAAAGGAACAACTTAGTGGATTAGCAGTAATGATACCTATTAACAAGTAGGTTCTTAAATAGCCTCCAGACTCCCTTTCTCCAGATCACAAGAAACCTGACATTTTAAGGCACAATGAAAAGTCCTTTATGTCTAAAAAGTGAAAATAATACTGGGTAATAGTTACCCTTGACTGGCCCAACATGAGTAAATTAATCCAAACTACTTTTCTGTATGTCGTAGCTTGCCTCCTAAGCCCGAAGTGTCAGTCTGGTACACAATCTCCTTTTCAAACGTTATAAACCCTAATCTTCCTCGAAGCAAGGGAGGCACAGGAGAAACCATCTGCTGATGTTAAAGCTGGACAAATCAATTGATTTTTCTGCTTGGCCAGCAAAAGAGTTGGTTCAGTTCTGAAAGCATTCAGAATGGGACTAAATTTGGGGAAGGGGACACACCAAACAACTTGGTGATGAATCCACTAAATTATTGATGCCCTGGAATAAAAGGCTGATTTTGATGAAGACGACACCATCAGAATTTCATTTCCAAGCTTCCTCAATGCACTTGTGGCACACTGATTGAAGCCATCAGCACTTCAAAACTTCCAGTGAGTTCATACCACCACCACGATTCCTCAGCAAAAATGGTTACTATGAGCAAATCAAACCGATCCTCTGCTCTGTGCTGGCTTTCCAAGCAACAGACTCAAGTTCAAGGTCTTGATGGCAGTTGATGGCCTGGGCACCTAAACAATCACCTAAAGCTCTGGGATGAGGATCAAAGTCGACAACTCCACCCTGGGATAAAACAACTTTCAACAATCAAGGTGAAGCTCATCTGTGCAGTGGACAGAGCTTCCTTTGGGGCCAGTCTCTCTCCTAGTGAAACTAAGGATCATCATAAACTTCCGTCCTTCCTTCACCATCTTCTGCACCGAGTGCAAGGTACATGTCCTTCAACCTGCCTCCAACCCAATGTGTTACCTGAAACAAAACCGCAGTAAACCAAAACACTGCATAACTTTCTTCCTGGGGAGAGTACGAGGAGAATTCTATCATGGGATAGATGTTACATTGCTTAATGCACTCCCAAAAGCGCTGTTACTCTGGAAATTAGAGAGGTATAAAAATATAGAATAGAATATGTTTTGCTGAAAAGCCTTTCCAAAAACTGATTTAAGTGGAGAAAATCCCTATTTTCTCTCTGAATCACATATCTGTTTTCGTAACTGAGGCATTTCCATTACTCTCATGCACACAATAGTTACTGTGCTGCCAGTCACCTAAGAAAAACAAAGTGGGTAACAGATTTAGGAGTTCACATTTGTTCTCTATTTTTAATGAATTTAAGTTCAGAATTGCAAAATGTAAGACTTTACAGGAAGTCTTCCCCAGTGAGCACCTAAAAAGACTTAACTTTTCTAGAATATTAAAACGTGATCAAGTTCAGTACCATTATGGTGGCTGTTCACATCAGCCAAGTTCAGAGTGAAAAAAGTTTTCCTCTCAATTGGCATGACTACTGGCAGTCTCCATCGAGAGCTTTAAGGACCGAATGGACATGACAACTGAATTATCCTCGCTGCTCAGAGGTGATCCCTTAAGGAGAAAGTCTAGAATATATACTGCTCAGACTACAAACCTGGGGGAGAATAAGCTGCTGCCTGTGCTTACACCTGTTCTGTGGATAAAGACAGGACTTCAACCTCAATTGAACTAAATGCAGCCCTTTTCATGCATGCTATATTCATAAACTATAAATCATGTTTATTTTTACCTCTTAATATTAAGCAGTGCCCATGGTATGCCAGTGGGAGTGTTAAATGCTGGTAGCAACTTTTCTCCAAGTTCCACTGCTTTCTTTCGAAATATCTGAAAAATAAAAACAAGCATAATATTAGACATGGCTTAATAGATAAATAGATGAAATATGCACAAAGTATTAGAAAAGTCATGTTATTGCTACTACTGGTAATGTTTTACAAAGCATCCCATAAGACTAAATAGCATAGCATCCTGAGGTTTGTGCAGAGATGTTAAAGAAAAAGGAAGATGCAATGATTTAGTACAGAAGGAAAAAAACTTATAGCTAGCATTCTATTTATAAGATCTGGAAGTACCTCAAGATGCCTAACTTTTAGCAGGAAATATAACAGAACATATGTTTAGGGGAAAAGTATCTCACTATTCCAATGCTGCAATACTTTCCAGTAGTCAACAGTCAGCTCAGGCTGGACAAAGCTAACTATTCTCAAAAGCTTTGAACACTCTCTGATCTCTTCAAGGAGAGAGTTTTCTAATACAGGGAAACTTCTCTAATTTAATCTACAAACCTATTTATGGACACCAATGACCACACTTGGATTTTCAAGCACTATTATCGGCTTTGAATCACAGGGGGGTTTTACATGACATCCAACAAGGAATTGTCCTAGGTGCATTAAATATCACTGATTTTCTCTCCAGCAATGACTCCTCCTCCAGCTCACTTTCTTCCATGAATAGATTTATAATACATGTTTTTAGATATCAATTCTCAGTTTGATATAGATCATGATTTAAATTGGCATTATAGGTCAGATTTTTTCCAAGAAAGAGGGGGGGAAAAAAGCACCTCCCGCCTTTGTACAGATGTGTGTGTGTGTGTGTAAATAACTACATTTGCTAGTGGATCAGTGCAAGAGAAGAAAGGGACAGACTCATTTACTGTCTTATAAAGAAAAGCAAGTTGATAAACAATAGTGTACTTTCCAAAAGCCATTGTTATATTTGTAAACAATGTAGGTATTTATTTAACAAAGGATCTCTCATTTTTTGGCATAATTTTAGTTGTTGGGTTTAGTATGTGGATACTAGGTAGTGATAGTGATCATGGTCCCTTCTGGCCTCTGACTAAAGTATTTGTGTTAGTTTCTAAGGGGTCACAGGACTACTTAGTTTTAAAATTACAGATTAACATGGCTATCCCTCTGAGAATTTGTATCTAGTCTTAGTTTCCCATGCAACTATAGTTTCCCCATTGGGTCCCATATCTTACCAGCCTTTGTGACTTACTCAATTCCATGGTTGGAGTTGCAACAGAAATGTGTCCGATTTTGGATAGATTAGTTGCATTCTTGAACTGGAGGAGTTATTTGCATGAGTTGGAGCTTCAGCTCCACCTCCGGCTCTCAAACTTACTTTACTCCAGGGAAGAGAGGTAGGAACTGAGTGCTGTGAGCAGGGCCAAACAAATACCAAGAAAGATTTAGTAGAGATTTGACAATGGGGGAAAACAAGCAATTTGTTCAGGGTGCTTTCAATATCCAGTTTGTTTTGGACTCTTCTAAGTAGTCTATTGTATTTTTACATGGATTTGGCCACAAATTATGTCTGTGCCCTCCAGACTGCTTTATTATAATGCAGTACATATGGAGTTAATATATAGGTAGGGCCCTACCAATTTCATGGCCAAAAAAAATGTGTCATGGTCTGTGAAATAAGCCTTAGCCTGTGGAATGTGATGTCTCTTTGTTCCTAAGAGCACTACATCAAAAGGGGGCTTCCTAGCTCGACTAGGCAAGAGAAAGGTAGGACTTGTCCCTTCCCTGCAAACTGTTCTGGTAATATCGGGGGAAGGGACCAGAACAGATTCACATCCAGGTGCCCTCCCTGATGCAGAACACTGAGACTAGGCAGCAATTCCTGCAGCAACTCATGGAGTTGGACAGTCGAGGGACAGGACTGCTCTATTTCCTGCATGGCTGCTTGGAGTGAGGAGCTACAAGACCAACCCACCTCCAGGTGCCTCCCCTTGCTTCAGGATGCTGTCTGGAATGGGCAGTAGCCTGAGGTTCCCAGCTGGGTGTGGGGTAGGGGGGTGCAGCATTTTCTGCCACAGTACAGAAAAATGAACAAGTACTGTCCCTCCCGCGAAGCTGATCAGGACTAGCAGAGAAAAGCCCCTATTTTGGGTGCTCCCAGCAGCACAGGGAAGAGCAGATCCACTTCTACCTCTTGGAACCTCCTGTGGTTGCAGGAAGGTCTGAAGTCAGCACACAAGTGAGGATGGCAAATCCCATGGGCCCCTTACAATGGATATGTGACCCCCTCCCTCCATAGTCTCCGTTTAGGTGGGGGCCTCACGGTTACAATACTATAAAATTTCAGGTTTAAACAGCTGAAAATGTGAAATTTACCAATTTTCAAATCCTATGACCATGGAATTGGCCATAAAGTATGGTGAATTTCGTAGGGCCTTATGTACTTAGAAGCCACAGCTAGTGCAGAAGTCAGCTGTCTTTCTGCTTGGGGGTACCAGCTATAGGGAACATGTGATAGGAAGTCCATGAAGACTGCACTCGTTTTTCATTTCTTTATGCCTGCAATTTAAGTTGTTCAGATTGATCTACAATACCAATACTGGGGTTACATGTGAGACAATATGGCATTATAGAAGTAGAGGTCAACTGGACAACTCATGCTGGAAGACCCTATATTTAACACATAGTAGCTGGGAGAATGAGATGCTGCCTAAATGAGGTACTGTGGGAACACATTTTATTTTGTTCAACAGGAGTCAAGGTTGATGGTTGTTAATGTTTCATTTTTAAATATTTTTAAGACGTGCTCTGGCAGAGTTTGAGTTGTATTTTATAAATAAAAACATATTTAACTATACTATGGGATACTAGGGCATGATCATGATTTACCAATTGTGGTACATTATTGGCTGAATTAAGCATTATTAAGTAGCCTACACACAGGCTCAACAAGGAATATAATATCTTTTTGTCCAGAAGTAGTTATTGTAGTATTTTATCATGTTTAAACATTATCAAGATTTTAATGCTACCTTACTGAATTTCAAATTATTCACAAATCTTTTAGTAATAAAACTTCCATCACTCAGTCTTGTTATATTTACATCTCTATTTTGATGAACCTTGTTTTGCCTGTTTCTGAGAGAGACAAGGATTGGTTGGCAAAAACTAATGGTTCTAATATTAAATGTTAAGGAAATATTTGCCCCACTTCTAGACAACGAAAGCCATAAGTTATTTACATAAACTGTAATGCTCTGAAGATATATTACATCAGCTTAAAAATCCCAGAAAGAAAATTAAGCACATTTATGATAATAAGTTAATTGGAACATCCTTTTCAAAGTTAGTAACTAGAAGTATAGGAGTTGAAAAGGAAAAGCAAAGTCCATTAGGAAAATAGGTCTAGAGTAATTTTTCAATTTAACTAGAATGTGTCTTAAGCATAAAATTCTACTCTTGTCACTTCCAACCAAGATTTTAATAAATAACTCAATGGTTGGAAATTAATCTACCTCTTTCCAAAATTCAAAAGTTTGAACTAGAATTAAGGAACTACAGTCATTCCACAATTTATCTACAATTATAAGTTAACACTTCTATGCTACTGACTGCCAAGGAACTATCTAATGAGTAAAACAGTACTGACAACGGTGATACCAAGTATAAAAATGCCATGTAAATGCTGAACATAACGAATTGTAATGGGATCCAGCAAGAATGACCATCCTTGAACAGAATAAAAGCTAATAGTTAAAGCAACTTTTTATTACCGTAATTTAATTGATACCTTTACTACAGTTCAGTAACAGTAAGAAAAACCGATCTTAGCTGCAATTAATTAGTTCAATCTGTATCAGAACATTTATCTTTTGCAGACCATAAATTTTAACAGTGTGGAAGAAATAAAAGTTATGAAAGGAGCCCACAAAGTGTATGCTTTTGATAAATGGAGGAAAATTAAGTTGAAACATTTTTAAAGACACACCCACATGCCAATATAGATTTTAACCAATGTTTATCAAAGTTTAAAATCCATCAAAAGATTTTAAATATATTTATTCCATCTACAGTCAGTAGACACAAAACTTGACCTGGCATTTTATTCATGCAATGCACAAAGCATTATAAAATTGTTAATTTATTAATCTGCCTCTAAAAATTAACTTCTTAATTTAAAAAAAAATATATTTAAGTAAACATATGCCTAATGAAAGATGATCAATTTGATAGTTTCACTAAATGAAATATTTTATCTGTACACAAGCACTAGGGGAGGCATGTGCTGATATAATATAATGCCTATGACTACTGTGGCCTATTACTAGTAAGTCATGTGGATTCCTCTATTTTGATTTGTGTTCTACCACAGTGTTAACCCTTGCTAGAACTATTGCATGTGAAGTATTTTCAGCCACCTTCCTACAATAATTGTTTTTATAATAATTTGTTCATCTCTTAAATTGTGGGACACTCTTTTGACCTCTCTCAAACTCAGAAAGCCATCCCTATGCAACGAAGAACTAAAGTTGTATGTTCTGAGTAACTATGAATTTGGACACAGACACTGGGCGTTCAGTGTGGAGAGTTTAAATAAATTTTTAAAAGTCTTACTTATAGAAATTATTCTCATTCACCAGGCAGTTACATAATATGCAGAGGTGGTGAGTGTACTCACATGAAACTTTTATTTTACTGAATTGATCATTGTGGATTTAAATGAAAGCCTCATTTTTTAGGCAGTAGATCAAGTATTCACAACTGAATACAGATTGGACCTCCCTAATTCGGCACTCTTGGGAATTGACTGGTTCTGGATGAGTGATGTTTTCTGGACCAGGGGAGGTCACTTCAGACGCCCTGCTTTCCCCACTCTCCCATGCTTCCTGCTCTCCCCTCTCCCCCCACAGCCCAGCTGACCTATGTGGTGGCTCCCACCTCTTCCCTCCCCTGAAGCCCAGCTAAACTGTGTGTCAGCTCCTTATACTCCCATGCTCTAATCCTGTAGTCAGGTCCTTACACTCCCATGGGACCCCATTAAGATCAACATGGGTGCAAAGGTCTTCTCAC